TTGGAATTTTTTTTTTTTTTTTTTTTTTTTTTTTTTTTTTTTTTTTTTTTTTTCAATTTCAGTCGGAAATCTGTCTTTTACTCAATTTGAACTGGAAATCTGTTAAATATCCTTGGCAGTTTTCTGCCATGAGTGACCTACTGACATCCTAGTCCTAAGACCATTTTTTTTTCCCAAACCATGTACAGTATGTAGCATCTTGTTAGTGTTGATGTTAGATTTTATTTTACTCTTTGCAGCTGTTATTTTTTGGAAGTGACTTTACTTGAATGGCCACCAGTAATTTTGACACCAGCTTCCTGGTTTTGATTGACATGAATTTAGCAGATGCGTTTGTCGTTTGATCACTATTGCAAGTGTGCATGTGGACCCTTTCTTTTATTTTACAAATAGACATCCTTCGCCTTGAATGTGACATTGAAGACAATAATTAGCGAACCTGCTAGAAATATGATAAAACTATTGCTTGTAGATTTTGTTTGAGAATTTTCATTTTTTGCTTTCAGTAAACCTGATTTGAAGATAGCAGTTCTGATTGTTTGCTATATAATGCTATTAAATTTCACATCTGCTCATCTGCTTTTTTCCCATTGGTCAAATTTTGGTGTTGATTGCTTACCTTCTTTCTGCAGGCAGTTCTTGTTGATGTTTGCTTTATCTTGCATTTATAATTTGGTGTTTTTGACAAGAAATATTGATTAAAGAAATATTTTTGTATATTTATATGAGTTGTTTACCTAAGATAAATTATGGTACTTTGTTGCCTAAATGTACAAGTATAAAGATTTGTAAATGTTAAGCTGTAGTGTCAAAATGGCTCAGACACGCCATTTAACATAAGAAACTGCCTGATTCCATTCTGGTGAGTGAATCGTATATTATCATGAAATTATTTCTTCATCCTATGCTGCCAACACAGATTGTCTTTTCTGCGAGCTTTAAAAACAGCTTGTTATGGGTCACTGCAAATGAGTTGAGGCTTTTCTCCACTGCATACAGTGTAGGTCTACTTGAAGTTTCAACTTTCAGTATTGGGTCAGACATGTTATAGATATGAAAGGTCTAATATCCATGGTTTGTTTTCAGGATATGAATAGAGGCCGAGGAAGAGGTGGATTTGATCGCGGGCGGGGTGGGTTTGGAGGTGGCCGGGGTAGATTCTTCAACCAGGGCGGCTATAGGAGAGAGATGAGTGAGTTTATGGATTGTTCTTTTTATATATGACATTAAAGTAATCTTAACATTCACTGGAACAACCATCAGTGATCATATCTGAATTTTGCTTTTCTTTGGCTGATTTTAACCTTAACTTTTTAGAGTCAAGCTGGAAATGATAAGATATTTGAGGTAATTTGTGTGTTTATCTGTGTGTGTGTGTGTGTGTGTGAGAGAGAGAGAGAGAGAGAGAGAGAAGAGAGAATAATTTGGGAGTAAATACAGTAATTACAATCCATTATTCCTATTCTAGGCTCGCGAGGTGCAATGAACCAAAGAGGTGGAGGCATGTCATCGAGAGGAGGTGGTATGGGCCCCAGAGACAGCCCCGGGGAGGGACGCAGGGAGGAGGGCAGGGGATTCAACCCCAGAGGAAGAGGAGGAGGAGGGGGAGGGGGCTCACAGTGGGGGAGACCACGTTTTGGTAGTCCAACCAGAGGGGTCAGCACCAGAGGCGGGTGAGTGTTGGGTGGACAGGCCAAAAATAAAGTCAATATAAGGGCTGATGCAGGACAAATAGTAATGTTTTATAGAAAAGTTTTTAAGCCTAAGTACTTTTAAAGTGATATTAGCATAATAAAATTCAAGGAAAATCCATTTAATGTTGAATGTTTTTTTAAGGTCCATTTTTCCAAGAAGGCTGCCAAAATCATTACACATAATATCACACAAAATACCAAGTAATAAAACATAGCATAGTTCTCATCTGTCCTCTCCTTTATGTCCAGTGGCAGGCCAGGTCAATCCAATGACCGTTATCAGGACCGTGGTCCGCGTCCATTCCTCACCCCTCCAGGGCGAGGTGGACGCGGAGGTGCCAGAGGAGGCAGTCAGTGGCAGGGAGGACCTCGGAGAGAGAACACAGGGTGAGAATGGGTATTTAGTGTAATTTTGGGTTGAACATTTAGACCATGGAGTTTTTTTTTTTTTTTTCATTTATGATGAGTCAGTAGTTGTGTACGCGATTAAACAAATATATTGAATCTACATCACATTTTTTTTTAATTTACAACATTTTCATTTACTGTAACAGATTATTTCAGGTTCAAAAAGGACTAAAATTGCTTCAACCATGTAGCAACATCTTTTATATGAACAGGAAAGATAATATTAAGTAAATGCAAAACAAAAAAAGATGCAAGAAAAATTAAATAAAGTAACTTGGGTTGAGTACAATTTACATTTTTGTACAGTTCATCGCTATTGCAAAGACTCTCAAAGAATACATTAATTTGACAAAAAATAGACGAAGTATTCTTCCCTCAGTTTATTTAATGTCTCCCATATTCCAGACCTGGAGACCGGGGTCCACCCGACAGAGGTCCTGGGAGAGACCAGCGCCCTATGGGGGGCTCCCAACCCTGGGGCAGGGGGTCCAGTGACAGGGGCAGGGGAGGGGGGCAGTGGATGGGAAACAGGAACCGAGACCAGGGAGGAAAGTAAGTATCATTGGAACATCACGGTGTTCCAGATATTTGGCCACTTGTCAAGTTCAGTTTGAATGAAGGGTTCTAAAATGTTTAAAAAAAAAAGAAATAATAGACCATGCTTGGTGGGTGAGGCTGACCAAAAATGTGTTATATGAGGAATGCACCTAAATTTGAAAGTGGTTTAAATTTGTTCATATCTGATTAAGTGTACCTGTTCTGTTGTATTGGTATTGGTCCCACTTGTGCCCCAGGTTAAAGACTGTATATGAATTCTACACAGTCCTGTCTTGTATTTCAGATTCATGCATCCCCCTGGTGGTCAATCTTTCCGTGGCAGGAGAGATCAAGGTGGCAGACACGCCAGGTCCTTCACAAAGTAGAGTATCAGCAGATATTTCATGGACTTGTCTTCATAAGCAACTGCGGAATAATTTGATCACTAATTTGAGGGCAGTTGCCTGAGTTAACAGTGGTGAGGTCTATTCAGGGGTCGTGTTCAGAAACAGTAAAAATTCCCAGTGTCCCTGAGCACAGTCAGGAATCCACAGGAGTCACCAAAGATCACAGAGAGTTCTACTTCTTGTGTCCAGAAATATGGGTTAAAACAATTGTTTCAGGAAATTTTGGAGATTGAATTCTTTGACAAACGAAGTATGTTTTAACATACTGTACTGCGTTCAAGATGGCCGACATGCCAGTCCTGAACTATAAGTGTTGGTGAACTGAAAATTGTCTTGAAAATGGATTTCATAGAAATGAGGTATTCAATTCAGACAATCAAAAAGATCTGTTGATAGAGAGAATTGTATCAAGTTCTAGATTCTTTATCATTTTTTATTCAACGAGTATCAATCATTAATGAAAAATGATTAATAAATATGAATTGAAAATGCAAAGTGTACATATTAAGATGTGTTTACTATAACCGTGGTTTTATAAACTGTAAATTTTCTTTTATTATCAAAACATGACCGGTCTTAAGGAAATGCAGGGCGTCAAGTTCCTTTTTTTTTCTATTTTTTTGAAGATGGTCCTATTTTTTCTTTTTTTGTGTTGGTTATCCAAAAATAAAATATGTAGATACCTTAGTTAATATTTTTTAACTTTTGAAGAAATTTACCGAAAATATTGACTTACTGACTTTGGACGCATGCCTTGTTAAAGTACAATGCAGAAAGATGGAGATTACTCTATATTTTCAGTTGGCTTTGATATTTAGATGCCAACATGGATGGAATACATTGAAGTTTTCTGACTAGCATCAGACTTAGATCTGCTACTCGTCATATTCGTGAACAGTGGGATGCCATGTTCATCAAGTCCCGAGGTTTTTAAAATTGCTAGGCCCATGCAGCAACAGCACATGTTGAGGTTTGCAGTTTATAGCCATCAATGGATTAAACAGCTTGCTTTCAAGTGGGATCGGCAACATTTAAGTAGGTGGGGGTCTGTTAGTCCACGGATTAGCTCGTTCTGAATGCTCTCCCAGATCATCAAAATGAGGAAGTTCAAACTTAAGGTATTGGCAGACACATCAACACAATTGTACATGGACATTTCACAAAATTTGGTGCCCCTTGAGTTGGGCTGTCCATGGGAGGATGATTTTTTACCTTTTTTTCTGTGCACATTGTACAAGTCCATTCCACAGGTTCTGCTATCTCCTCCTCTAGACCATTGATATCAATGATCTATATTGATAGCCCTATCATCAGGGATGTGGATAGGCCAGTCAAAATTTATGTACACTTTGGGGTTGGGCTGTCCCTGGGGGTGGATGACTTCTTTTTTACATTCAGCGTTTTTTCATCAATTATTTTATGCTGTTATTATTAAAGGGATAACAACTGTTCGTAAGATATCCATATTTCACAATAAATACATTGTAAATAACTCATAGAAATACAATAAATTCTATTTAAGCACCAAAAATGGCAGTTGACACAATAATTCTGGAATTTGTGCTTGCCATCACATCACGTGATCTCCATAGATGGCTACATTCTGTAATAATCTCTTAAGAGATTGTTACAAAAAAACCAAACTTTTGAGAAAAAAACAGGGACTAATTTTGAATGGAAAAATTGTTCTTTACCCCAAGAAAATTCATTTTTTGGCCAAAATGAACAGTTATTATCCCTTTAAGATTATTTGCAATAAGTATACATAAAGGACCTAGGCATTGTTATAGCAAAGGGGTCCCTGATTGTGAGCTTCTATCTAGAATATGGGGAATCATCCATATCGTCCCCAGTTTTTTCACTTTCACACAATGATATTGTGGTTTAGGTTGGTAATTCAAAATTCACAGTCCCAAACACGCAGCTCCAAATCGCAAATGGCAATTATGAGGCCAGAAAAAGCCATCCCAGCAAAACAGTCAGCAGTAGGGACAAAAATGTTGACTAGTGGAAAAACCCGATTGACAAACAAACCTGGTAACCAGTTGATCTGACCTGTTGCAGATTATTTTGAATAAAACTGCATTATTATCCATTCAGATACATTTTAATTTGAACATTGCTGTTTAATTTACAGAAGCATACAGAAATTAAATAATATCTAACAATATTATGACCACTGACAGACTTTAAAAATGTGAGTTGAAAACACTAATTTAGCATATTAAGAAAAACAAAGAAAGAAAAAATAGAGCCCAAAAAAAGGTTAATGTGTAATACATGTATATCATTTGATATTTTATTAATTTATTAAAACAGAATAATGAGAATAATTTGCATTTTCCCTTTCTTATGAAATTAGATTTTTACACGAAATCCTTCAGATTTTCTTTATGGATATTGCTCAGCTAGTTATATGCAATTAACGGTTTCTAAATGTGATTTAATGAAACAAAACGCGCCGGAGATTTTCTTTTTCAGAATTTTCAAAACAAGAGAAACTTGATATAATACAATATAGATTAATTCTTTAAATTATTTTGCTCAGTTTTAGTATGTGTATTTTATTCGTGCATAAACAGTTAAAATATTAATTCTGTAGAGTTTACCGTATTAATGGAAAATTACCTATGGATGTAACATACAAGACAATTCAATAAACATGTGTAACTTAAACGATTTCCTTTAAAAGTGTCCATCTATGTTTCAAGAGGCATAAAAAAAGAAAGAAAGAAAGAAATGTCAATAACCTTACTGTTACGCTGTACCGTGAAACTAAATGAAAATCCTAAAAGTCTTTTCTATCACAATCCTGCCCCCAATTCGTTCATTCGACCAATGAAAGCACATTTATATGCCCGGCCACGCAGTATCAAGTATGTTGACATTCAAAATGCATTTTTCTTTTTATTTATTAAATTTGTTGTGTTTGTGAGTGTCATTACGACTTTATCAACCCCCAATCCTCTTTTGGAGATGGAGACTTATGCGCCTTCTCATAAAGCAGACGATATTTCAAACCGAAACGTCCGCACGGAAAGTAGGTGACCTCGTCATCATTATGTAAATCAGGTGAGCGTTTTGGTGAGAGGTGCTCAGATAGGACCAAGGTCAGTAGAAGATGGAGAAGAAGGATGTCCCATGCCATATTACTGCTACTGCCACATGTAGGCCGAAAAGAAGGCACTGAACCCGACAGCAGTATTTCGTAAGTTCAGTACAGATGATAGAAAATGTTTTGTATCATTTCATAGTTTTGCATTGACGATATTTTTCTGAAATGGTGCACTCTAGACATAATGACCATGGAACATCTAACTTACGTGAAGGATAATTTCTCTTAGCTTTCCCTCAGTGCCTTTTGGGCACCCTTTTGTTTCTGATACCATTAACCACGAGGGTACAATATAAGTTTATACATTTGTATAATATAAAGTTCAATTGCAATTTGTTAATTATAGCGCAAGGGATACTGGTCAACACGACTTGCTGTAATGAACATGTACTGCTTTATCAAATTGCTAGACATTGTTTCATGAATGTGAATTTATTCCTTTAATTCCAGTGACTCTAAGTAGCATTTACGAAGATACCAGAAGCGTCCTACTCAGAGACACGTTTCGTGTTCTACATATACAGGCCCACACCCATGCCAAGATTGCCTCCTATGCCGACGTTTGTCTGCTCGTCAATTTGCAGGGACATGTTTAGTATGGAAAGTTATGTTTGCTTTTGGTTGTAACATTCTGCTCCAAATCGTAAATCAAATTAAAAGTCGAATAAAATTAGCTTTTTATTCATGAAACTTCTCATAAAAATTAAATCCACACTGAGCGTCCGCCCTGCATGTTGCTGGTTTGTTTCTTTTGGCAATTGTATGTTACTATGTCGTAGTACAGTGCTTTATCTATTGTGGTGTTATAAGGGTAATTTATGTGTAGGCCTACTTTTGGGTCGGGATTGATACTCGTCCCTTTTCGAACCTCAAACGTTAGATTTTAAGTTCTCATTTAATAACAGGAAAAACGTCTGTATGAAA